AGAAAACCCCTTGTGGTTTCGTAAAAAATCAACGAGCTGCTTTATGATTTTGAAATACCCACATAACCTTCTTGTGGTTAAATTAAAGTGGAATAGCATTGTTTGACCTGCTATGGTACTGGTAGCCCATTTTTTATTGATTTTTTCTTTTCTTTCTTCCCTTCATTTTTTTTGTTTTCCTTTCCTTTTTTTATATATATTTTTCTTCACTTTCTGTCTTCCTGCATTACCACACAATCGCCACTGCTATACTAACCACTATCTCTATCTTCTACCTACCTACCACCACCATCCGCCACCACTCTCTCTCCTTGCCTAATTTCCCTCCTTCCATTTCCTTTTTCCTCTCCCTTCTTCTCTCCCCTTTTTTCTCTCTCTCTCTATCCTTTTCTTTCTTGATGATCGGATTTGGTCACTAGAGAGAAGATTTGGCTGCAACTAAATCTCTGTTAACCAGATCTTCTCCGTGTGATTAGATAAGGTCACTAGAAGGAAGGGAAATGAGAGGGAGGCATGGGAACAAGGAGCACTACAAGAAATTTGGTTTTGTGACAATAAAAAGTCATCACTAAAAATCAAAAAGTCGTCATTATATGAATATAGTGATGACTTTTTCCATTGTCACATGGTTGTCACTAATTCTATGTCACAAATAGGTACGTGTGACAACTCTTTTAAAGTCATCACTGAATCTTATTATTTAATGACGAGAACTAAGTCGTCACTAACGGTTGTCATTCTGTGACGAATTTTCTTGTCACTGTTTCACATATTTTTTTGTCATAAAAGGTAGCAAAAGTCGTCACAAATTTGAACTCTACAGTGACGACTTGAACTTGTCACTATCATTCCTAGTATTCAGTGACAAGAATAGTCGTCACTTAGTGAACTTACAACTTTGTTTGGAAGATCTGCAATTGTTCATTACAAATATAGCATTGTCACGGCATTTCGACAATTATAGTAAAAAATTAAATTTGCATGATAGTGACAACTTTGAAGGTTATCACTGAGTTTGTCTTAAAGAGTTGAAATTGGCCATTACAAATATAGTATTGCCATGGCATTTTCAACAATTATAGTAGAACATTCAATTTGACAAAAGGCAAAATCAACGTAGAATATATGCCGCAAATTCATATATTTGGCCATAACACATCTATAAATTAATCAAAACAAAAGTGAACCACAAATGTTGGGTCCTAAATCCCACATAATCAATTCAAGTAGTAATGGCCAATACATATCCTTCCCAAAAGATAAGAGTACTAGATTTCTAAACTAAAACATAGACTATAGCACCAATGTCATATTTCAATCATCTCTAGCAGCATATCCAACAGTCTTCTCACGATCAATATGAAGCTAGACTGCATTGAAAATAAACTTTTCTTTAGAGTTTCAGCATATCCAACTATTGTGAACTTAATAAGTAAAAAATCAGTCAAAAAAAGAGTTTCAGCCAAAATAAAAGAATATGTGAATTTTAAGAAAGCAGCCACCCCAAGTTTATAAGACTCGTCCTTTCTATTATCAAGTTTCATCCAATTTTTGTCCATGTCCTAGAGTTACAAATCCAGAACATAAGTCACAAATTTTTATCTACACATTACAACCAGAAATAAGCATAGATAAGCTAGTTATGAAACAATAGATTTCTTGAGGTGAATCTATAAAGATATAAGTGCAATTCCTAATGTGCATAAGTAGGCAAGGGGTAAAATAGGAAAATCTCTACTTCTCTGTGTTTTTTCCAGATTATATATTAAACATACACTTTTGCTAGCTTAGACAATCATCCATGAATTTCATTTTGAAGGAACAAGGAATGGAACTGTTAAGTGGCAGCAACTGCAAATCTGTTAGTGTTGTTGCAGTTGCATCCTTTAAAAGAGAGACTAATAAGTCAAAAACAATCTATTAAAACATAGTTTAAAGAAGTTACCTGACAAGTAATGAAAAATTAGAAGAACAGAGGTAAAAACAGGCCTAATTGTCTCTTGAGTCCAGTGTAAAGCAGCTGCAAAAAAGGCAATGAAAAAGCTGAGAACCATTTTTCAATTGAGGCTCCAATGAAAAAGCTGATTAGTGAACAAATATACAGAAAATAGAACACCAAACATAATGCACCAAGTGTAACAACCCATTTAATGGGATTAGATATGTTACCATCAGGAACAAAATCAGTTGCACAGAAAGTTGAGAAAAAGAATAAACTACATGCATATAGATTCTAAGATTTAGTGAGGAAAATGGATGAAAAACATGGTACTGACAGATTTTTAACTAGGAGTGGTAGGACTGAGTGAGGAAAAAATGGGTAAAGAGAAAATTTTTACTTGAGGTTTATATAGGTCAAGTTTATGTCATGATAAGTTCTGTCACAAAGATATTCGTGCCATCGTCTTCATTTTCTCCACCTTTATGTATACTTCAGTTTCATAATGACAGAAACTCATCGAATTAGTGAACTGTGGTAGTTGTTTAGATCAATAGAGTTCCATATTGTCCTTAATAGAATATTGAGTTTGAGCAAAACTCTTATCTGGATAAAAATTTCTCCCATTGCTGACCTTTTAGGCTTTAGCTAGTCTCTTTACAATTCCAGTTAAGTGCTGTTATGAAGACATGACAAGAAAAAAGAAGCAGAAAACAAGGAAATATACAAGTCTATTATTTAGTTTGAGAATCCTATTCAATTCTTGAATGGCATATGAAGTATGAACATGAAAGTATTAATTATACTTATAGATTGAGTAGAGCAGTAATAGCATTCATGGTTCTTAAAAAGGAAAAATAAAAAATGTGCTATGACTAACAAATTTAAGAATCTTGTCCATTTCCAAAATGTTATTTCATTTTCATAAGATTCTTTCTTCTTGATGAGACATTGTCGTATATACTGTGCTCAACTAAGCTTATGAGTGGGCCGTTAATCCATTTTGCTTTTACAATATAAATTATAAGAAAAAGAAAAAGAAAAAGAAAGAGGAGAGAGAATGAGGGTAACAAGACTAATATAACAGATGTCAAAACAAAAACTCCATTACATTTTTTGGTTTCGAAGTTAAATTGTATCCCATAATAGTGGAAAGGCAGCTGGAGCCAACCTAGTGCTATCACCAAGTAGCCAAAAGTACCTCTAACAAGTGTAGTTGCATGAGTTTTATCAGCTTCAATGGACCTTGAAGTTCCAAAATCTGACACTTTGGCTATGTGCTTCCCATCCAAATGTATATTGTTGGACTCGATGTCTCTATGATAGATGGGAATTGCGGCTGCCAAGTGTAAATATGCCAATGCTCCTGCTACTTCACTTGCTATTCTTAGTCTGAAGTTCCAAGTGAAGGAGAATGAATCATCTATCTAATTATGAATGAGGTGGAGAGGGTATTAGGGATAAATTCATAGACCAATAGAGGAACTTCTGTCTCTAAGCAATAACCCAGTAGTTTAACTATATTCTTGTGGTTGACTTGTTAAAGAACAATAACCTCATTAATGATTCAGTACCATAAAGCTTCTGTCAGTACCATGTTTTTACTTTATCTTTGGCATTAAATGCTTTTATCTAAATTAGTAGAACCATATATGGACTCTTTACAGGTTAAGTGCAATCCTATATAAAGCACATCAAAACCAACTAGAGAATTCTGTTTGCTTGGCAGAATAGTCAGCAGTAGTTGTTGACAAGAAATTCTAAAACTGAAAAAGAAGCTCCATTCATTCACAAGCAGGCCGTCATCATAGCTAAACAGATTTTCTCTCTTTGGCAGAGTGGACGAGAAGAAGATACAGCACTAGGACAATCTCTATTCAAAATAAGTAAATCTTGAAAGAGTTGCAAAAATTTCTAAACTTAAGCGGGGCTGTGATTTAAAACTTGGCCCTTCGCTGTGTCTATCCTGCATATAACTAACTTAATGCAAGTGTTCTACAAGTTACCTTTGCTGTGTTGAAAACAACATTTTTGCAGTCTGCAAGAATGCTCACAGACCAAGCAGGAAGGAAATATGAATTCCCCTTGAATGTGACGTTGGCATCTACTTTCCTATCATAGTTAGCAAGAAAGGCTACACAATCGTTTGAAGTTTCATAGTACACATGTGCCTGATCAAACAAATTCATTCTGTTTTTTGGATAAATATACTGCATCCTTTGCCTATTTCCGAAGACATAAACTGTAATGATCATCAGAAACGTCTATTGCATATGTCCTCTTATGAAAAACTCTTTCTCTTATCACTACCCACCATTATAGTGGGGGCAATGGGGAAGAAGTCCTTGAATTAAATCAGTCGGTTCAAATGTTCAACAGAAAAATTGGCCTCAACCTACTGTTGTCCAACTCATTATAGGAATAGAAATATCGAGTCAAGAAACGGGTTCTTCATTTTCCTTTTAAACAGGAACCAACCAATATCAAATCTAAAATTACAGAATAAAAACTCTTCAGAAAATCCCTTCATTACACAATCAACAGATATTTACAACACCCAACACTAAACTCAAATCCAAGCACAGACTGTGATAAGCCTACACATAATGGGCAGAAGACACATTAACAAACAACCATTAGACAGAAATGTTCGAAAATAAATGGAAAATATTGAGATCATTTACCTCAAATTATGCCATGACCTTAGGTCTTGTTTTCCTTCTGATTCAGTCTTCAAATTCTGGCTTTTCCCCAAAATTCATGGTACTGGCTCAATTTAGGGATATTTGCTATCTACTACTCTACTAAAGCTGCCCTATCAGCTTGGGTAGCTCTTTTTTTTTTTTTTAACAAAGATGATGGGAAAGTTTATTGAGAATGATACGTGCCTCATTGCTAAATTACAGAACCAAGAGTACCAACAGCTACCATTGGACAAAAATGAAATACCATATCTCAATGGAAATATTCAGAAACAAGAGTTTGCAGTTTTGAGTAACATTAGGCCAAAATTACCTCTTGTTAGGAATCTCCACTGCTTGAAACTGAATTCAACTGCACAGGGCAAACAATAACTTGTGCAGCATTTCAACCTAAATCATCTAAAATTGCAAAACTTTTATAACTTCTTCACTATGACCAGACACTCGTTCAAAAACCTCTCAAGCTCTGATGTATATACACTGGGAAAAGTCCGATAATGGTCAACATGAGGTGATGCACCAAAGTTGAATGCCCACACATTTTTCCCACTTCTCTTCTGTTCTTCAACAAATGACTCAACTGATGAGAATGGAATGACCTTATTAGCTGTACTATACAGATAAAGATGTGGGCAAGAAGGCCGGTTTTTTGAAAGGACGGAGATTATCTTTGTCAACTGCTGTTTGACGTCGTTCAAGTTTAGGAGATAAGAGAAGAGCTTCTCAAATGCTGACAAAAGTAAGGTTTTAACGGACAGGGGCTCCTTTTCTCGCAACTTTGAGGTATCAACTCCACTTTCCAATTGATTTCTTCCTACAGCTACAACTGATGGATAAGATGATGAATTGTATTTCTTTAGCAGGGCTGCAGTAAATCCAGCAGCCCAGACCTTGGGATCTATATTAGCGTCACCTCCTGAATCAACAATAATTCCCTTGATTTTCTCCAATAAATCTGGCCTACTTTGCAAATTCTCAAGAATGGAACCATACCTCCTCAGATGCTTCGGATTCGACCCAAGCCATCCCAACAAAACTGCAGCAAAGATTGGCCCTTTATCCCCGATGACCCCATTTTCTCTAGGGTGAATTCCATCAAGAGCGTAATTCCAGTGGAAAGATTTAGCTTTTTGGTCAGAGAAAATGCGGAAGAAGGTTGAGGTGGAGAAGAATGAGTTGAGGAGAAACAGTGAAGAATTGAGGGAATGGGAAAAGCCAAATGGGGTTGTTGAGGGGTGTGGGGAATGTGGGCGTTTGAGAAATAATGGAGTGGTGATTTTGGGGGTTAATAAACGAAACTGCAGGAGTTGGAATTGGGCGATGATGATGATGATGATGATAGTAAGGAGGAGGAGAAGGAAGCAGTGTGGAAAAGGGCTTTAGAGGAAGCGGCTTTTGGAGAGGGAAAAGGGAGTTGGGAAGATGGTGTCCGAAGGCAAAGAAAGAGGGAAATGAGTTTTGTCTGAAATTTGGCCAAGTGTTGAGTGTTTTTCTTCCAAATCAACTTTAAATGACGTCGTTTCTGCTTCTTTTAGAACCCCGCCTCTACTCTTTCAATTTTCAGCTTCCCGCTTCCACTATTGCACACTAAAAAATACGCCTTGTCTCTAAATTGTTGAACCTTTTTTTAATAAAAGTAACGCCTTCTATCTCTTTTTCTTTTCCCAATCTTTGTGTAATTAACATTGTTTATTATGTTGAGCTTTTTCATTTCACAAGTTATATTAAAACTTTGGAATATGAAAATTTAGTATTTTTTTTTTTTCTTTTTTTTCTAACATAGGTTTTTTAGGATCTCTACAAAAAATAATGTTCAAAAACTAAAAGGCTTATTAAAAATATATTTATGATTCAAAAAAAGACCTTTTAATGTAAATATTTTTGGTATCAATTTAATAATTTTATCAATTATGCACGAATTGTGGTTTGACAAGACCAAACAATCTGTTTAGTTGATCAAATAACCAAAATGGTTTACTAATACATGCATGAAACACTAAATCTATTTGATACAAGTACTGATTCATACACCATAAAAAATTTGATTATTGTAAATTGTAATACATAACAAACGCCAGTCATGCAATTGTCAAGATTTTTACTTAATTTCATATTAAATTTTATTATTCTTTGCCATTATTTTCACACTATGTTAATCAGTAATTTTCCATATGTTGTCAAGAGAACTAAATAATGAATTCATGATATTTTTTAACTTTATAACAAGGTATTAGCTAAATTTGGAATAATTAAAAAATAGGTATACATTTTTTTTACAATACCTTCCTTATTTTGCCAATGATAAACACAAAATAAAGTGTAAAGCATAGGGTGCCATAATAGAATTAATAAAATTGGTTTATCACGTACGAGGCTAAATTGCAAAAGATAAGGTGTCATGGTAGAGTTAATGAGATTAGTTTACCACATACGGGGCTAAAATATAAAAGTTCGGTTGTCATAACATAATTAATTAAATTTATTTACAGCATATGGGCCATATAGAAAAAATTAGGGTGGCATATGGGGCTAAAATGTAATAGTTAGGGTGTCATATAGTAGAATTAATAAAATTTATTTACAACATATGGGCCATATTGAAAAAATTAAAGTGGTATGTGGGGTTAAAATGTAAAAATTAGGGTGTCATAGTAGAATTAATAAAATTTATTTACAACATATATGCCATATTGAAAAAATTAGGGTGACATAGTAGAATTAGTGAAAGTAAGTTGGGAATAAACACTTTGGACAGTGACGACTAGTTATTGTCACTAATTTAGAACTGACAACTATATTGTGACGATATTTTAAGTTATCACTGTAGGACCAATTTCAATGACAACCTATTTTCCAGTTGTCACAATGGTGATCTCCCGCCACACTGGCTAGTTGCGCGCCATCCATATTGTGACGACTTATCCCATGTTGTCACTGTTGCCGCGGTGAACCCACGATCAACTATGACGACATTAAAACTTCGTCACTAAAGTTTTCAATTGTGACAAGTTTCTCTGTTGTCACAGAGAATGTTGTCACAAAAGGCCAAATTTCTTGTAGCGGAGAGAAGAGGAGAGAGAGGACGAGGGAGGGAAAGGGAAAGAGGAGGAGGGAAAGGGAAGTGGAGAGAGAGAGAGAGATATGAGAAGACGGTGGTGGTGGGTAATGGTGGCGGCTGGTGGAGGAGGGGGGAGGAAAATGGAAGATGGGGGATGAATACTTTCTAAAAATTTTATAAGTATCTCAAAAATTTTAAAATTTGTAAAAGCATCCAAGATAGTTTAGGCAAAGGAATTTAAGCACCAAATATAAAAAGAAAAAAATTAAATAATAATAATAATAATAATACATCACTTGTAGGTCACATATAGGTTACAAGTGAAATTCCATATTGTTTAAAGTTTAAGAGGATTATATGGACATTTCAAAATCATAAGGTGTCCGATTGATTTTTGGCAAAACCACGAGGAGGTTTTCTGTATTTTACCTTTTGTATTACCGGTTTATTTGGGATTTTATAATAAGTTGACACACATCCCACCATTTTTTATAATTATTGAATAGTTACCAATTCCTTTGAATATGAATTTATCTAAATTTAAACTTTATTAATAAATTTCCATACTTTTGATGACCATATTCTATTTTTTTTCAAAATTCTTTTGATATTTTTGAATTGACATTAAATTTGAAAAGCATGAGTGTACTTAATAAGTTCAACATTAGTTGGACAAGTATTCAAACATGTGACAACTGGAAAGAACAAGAATCCATTCATTTAGTTTATGCTTGTAAAGAGCTAATTGTGATTTCATAATGCACAAATAATGCACGTGCAAATCCTACTAGCTACTTATTTTTGAAACTTAAGGTATTGTTATGTAGAGAGTTACTTCAACATTTTTGTACTTGTTAACGAGTAAACCTGATATCTTTAGGATGCAACCATTCTAAACATGTCTTGATGTTTTAGAAAGACACATAATTTGAAGTATATAATTTGTTGGCAACTTACCATTGAAAAGAGAAATTTTAGTGGCATAATTGGATCCTTAAACAATCTAATAAAGGCATGGCTTACCATTTTGCAACCGTATATCATTACAAATTGAGGAGCTAGTACACTATCCCACTGGAAACAAATCTCAAACACTAAATAGATCGGACAACTATATGTTTACCAAATGTAAGGGAAATAATTGAAATAAGTGGAATCTCCTACACTTATCCCAAAAATTTACCACAGGATTAATATTTGTACATGAAGAGGTAGTTATCCAAGGGTTTAGTCCTCATGGTTGTGGAAAATAAATAAATAAATAAATATATATATATATATTGAAAACAACTTTCCAGACTCCAGCTCTTAAAAAGCTCCCAACTACCCATCTCTTTTTCATAGAATTTGATTTATTTTAATTAGATAAAATTACTTAATATTTGACTATATACTTATGATATTGAAGCTATCAATTATTAGCATTTCCTAAAGTTGACTAATTCATGTTAAATTTACATATGACCTAAAATTGAAATCTTAGCAAACTTATATATGACTATAATTCAGAAAGATATAAATGACCATAACTAAAAAGTCTAGAAAAGCAAATTAGTAATCTCAAGATAATTCAAATAATTAAGAATGTACAAAAGTAATGGGCATTCTTAAGATTAAAGAAAATATCATGAATAGGAAACTAAAAGCGTTTACAAACAGAACTTTCCAAGATTTTATCGAAACTTGCCAGAAAGTAGATGTATGACGAATTAGTTTTGTGCGTGTCTAGAGTATAAAAGTGTAGTAGATTGAAAAGCAACCTCTTACAGACATAAGTGATGTGAGAAATACAATGTAGTCAAGGTGAATGTTTTAGTATGTCCATATCTTACCTTGTAGCTAGTTCTACGTACCCATTGTTCGGTGGAAGATAAAGCAGAGGGATCAATCTCTAATCTTGGACTCAGATCTAAAGCGTTGAGTACCATAACAACTCCATTTCTCATGGTAGTAAATACCACCCAGTTGCGACATGAATTAAATGTTTCCATTTGAAATCCTTAAACAGAAGTCTCTAATGGTCCACTACAAGTATTTGAGAAATGATCGTCTAAAGAAGTCAAATACAATATATCTCCTCTCCAAGTGTTTGTGGAGGATGAAGTGGTAAAAAAACTGCACTGCTGATGGGTTCCAGGCTTTTTTGATTCATACATTGCAAGTTGAGTCACGTGGTGGCTAGAAAGTGCATTTGATCCTTGTTAAATTGGATATCAGTCTCTGATGTTTGCAACAACAACCACCACCAAATTAATATCTTAATTGAAATGCTTTTCTTTTTCTCCTGCCTAATTGTATTCCAGACATTGATTTTCAACAAAGAGGAATCATACGATTCAGGAATTTTATACATGAGGGGTCATAGCAGGAACAGTTTTTTGGAAATTTTTAAACTCACATAATTTGCACAAACAACATGCATAATCAAGATGCGAGAAATAAATAAATAAAAGGAAAATGGGTGGTGCAAAAGGAGGAAATGAAGGAAAGGGTAAGCCAATCTTGCAACCATATGCTATTAACTAAACAATAAATCACGAAACCTATCTTAACCAATGGAAATGGCTTGGTTTAGTGTTTTGCTAACAATAGTTATTACTACAAATTGGTGCTGATGAAATTTGACTCTTTCCTATGTATGACAAAGCAAACTATGATGTAGTCAGTTTTTTTTCCTTACATATGACATTTTATACCTCTTCATTACTGGTTCAATTATCAATCTTAGACCAAATACTCAACAAAACCTACATTTAGTTCCTATTAAACAAGAAAATTCCTAATAAATCTTACAAGAAGTCTAGGACGAGAACATATTTGTTTTGTTGAATTACTCTTTTAACAATTTTTAGATAGTAGTACTAAGTGAAGAAATCAAATTGTGTATACATGGAATGATTTGCCCATAGATAATTAGATAACATTAGCTGCTCAAGACCACAAATTCCTATTAGCATGTGAGTGTGACATATTTGATTTAGAACAAATTAACTTGAGCATCTACTGTAGTAGAGACCAATACTTTTGACGCGTTAGAAAAGGCTAAGCAACTAATCCTTTTCAAATGAGAGTAAGCTTATTTACAAGCTGTTAAATGTATGGAAAATAATTAAAAGCTTTACATGTGCAAAATTAGTGCTATAACTCAGACTCTCACATGTTGTAGATGAGTATAGTTGAATCGTCTGTGCCAATAGCAACTAGGTTGTTATCTTGTGGGGCTAGAATGCCATACATGTAGCTGCAGGTGGAGCCAATGGGAAGCTTCTCACTTTCTGCAATTGCAGTTGACAAATCAAACTGGTCATGTAAAATGGTAATCTAGTAATAGACATAGCAATTTAGTTTTTTTCAAGTGTTCAAGAATTTGGAAACTTTGAGTTTCCCTTCAGTAATAGCTATTAGATTGATAGGATATCTGTGGAAGTCAGAATAAGCATTTGTTTACATTACTGAAGTGTTTTGGTTTATATTTTCTGCATGCATTTTGCTTTTTCTCTACCTTTAGCACTAGTTTTTTTTTTTTTTTTAAAAGGATACCATCCCTTAATATATTAAAAACCGAGAAAAAAATACATCAAATTAGAGGGGGGCCAAACCTGACCTCTGTTAAAGAAAAAGAAACATGTAATGATGGAAAATAAACACACATATAAAGGAATTGTAAAGACATAACAGATCAATCCAAAGAAATCATCCACACGAGGGTGCTCCACATTTGTGTGACTGCGAGTGAGCATTGGAATTTGGTTTGAGATCTTGACGTGTTTGCATTGTTTTACCTTTTTTTGAAAGCTGTTTCCTCGCTTTCTTTGAAATCACTTGGGTAAATTGCTGTTGTACTAGATTCTGGTCTTGATCTTTGTGTTTGTCGTGTTGTGAGTCGTCTTCCTCTTCTTTTTTGTCGTTATTGCATGTTATACTTGAACGAATAAAACTAATTTGATGTGGTCGGGGAAGTGTACCATGTAATTTTTCCCATTTAACCTCTTCGAACACATCTTTGAAAGCTGGCACTGGATTTTGAGGCACCGTGTTTTCGTTTCTGTTCTTGTACTTGTACTTGGAACCACAAGGAGTGGTAAGGCAATGTCGGGTCAGTGGTGTCGACCTTTTGATGATTATCGTCTCCCAAATTCTGCTTCTCAAAAGCTTGGACCCATCACTTTTATTCCAATTAGAATTTTCAGCATTTTGATTTCTAATTGAAGTATTGTCGGCCATTTGCTGCTGACCATCTCCCAATATTTGCTCCACTAGAATATGGGACTCCTCACAATCATTTCCAGCAATGTGATCGCATGGTCCCTCCCTTTGGTCAACAACAACGAACTTTGCTTTTCCATGCTTGACAGCTTTTTCGTTGCAGTTTTGCCCTGGCACAGCAGCCCCCTCTATGGGCTCCATCATGCCTGGGCCTGCTACCACGTTCAACTCCACCAGCGCCAATTCTCCCGTATTAGCAGTCCCTTCCAGCTCTTCCTCTGGTTCGCCAATCACGCGGTCAGCCATAGCGTGAAGAATGGCATCAGCAGCAGCCTCTATCTCCTTCTCCACAAGCACAACCGTAGACCCTCCAAGCTGGTTCAGTAAGCACGATGCATCTCCCACAGCAGTAGTAGGGGTGTCAACGTGCAGTGACCCTCGGAATGGCTCTTACCCGAATTCTGTGTCGCACCAGATTTCACCCCATCTCCTTCACTCACCCCCCTTCGCTCCTCATCCTCTGTACGCTGCGTGTTAGCTGGTGAGGAGCGACCCTTTGCGCCCATCACCCCTGTGACCAGATCCTCCTGCGTCTTGTGCAAGCGCAAATCAGGGTGCTTCACACGGCAATGATTCTCGCCATGCCCTTGACGATAGCAGTGGCTGCAATAATTAGGGAGGTTCTCAGGGATAAGAACCTGCCAAAAACCATCCCCATCTCCCATATCGACCCACACCCTCGACGGAATCGATTTGAGCAGATCACCTCAACACATACCCGCGCCACATTCGGTCGCGAAAACGAAGACGTAGCCGCATCCACGAATAGCGGCGTACCCAAGCAGGAGACAAGATGAAATAGACATGGCTTAGCAAATAAGTGAATTGGGAGTTTGGGCAATCTAAACCAGACGGGAGCAAGGGAAGACTCTCTGTTCACATGGAACTTAGATGTCCACTTAAAAACCCTCATGGGGGATCCATTCACATACCACAAACTTCGTCCCCAAACGCGAAGGAAATCCGCTTCACACTGAAATTTCAGCAACACATGCCTATCATCTAACAATCCACAGTCGCCGTAATCTTCAAATCAAGAGTCGACAAGAATTTCCTCAGGTCAGGCAGCAGCGGCGCCCCTTAGAGAACTTCCCAACCAAAGTGTAGCGGAATGGAGCAGCAACCACTGCTATGTCAGCCGCACTGAAGACCACCGCAGGCTCTCCACGGTGTGTTGTCATCCTCGCTTGAACTTGCACTACCTCGACGTCGGTTGTGGCTCAAACAATGCAGAGAAGGCCTCTTCCTAAAGGGGGAGGAAGAGGCCGACAGCCCCCCACCCGGAGGAGGGGGGCAGTCTCGGCTGCCATGGTTACGTTCATTGAACTTATTCACTAATAAGCACTCACATGTTGGTCTTAACTTCTACACGAATGATGATTCACCTTTAGCACTAGTTAATAAGCGATGAAATTTTCACAAATAAGTTTCCACGAGTTCTTATGTTAGTATGATTCAGTTTGATTAAATTTCAATATACCTTTTGACCTAAGAATTGCGATCACCTCCTAAAGATGTTAATCACATACTTACCTCAAAGGTTATTGTGTTGAACAAAGAAACTATTTCTTCCTGATGCTAATATGAGATAAGAGTCATTCCTGGATAAAGCAAAGCATGGTGAAACTATTTGAAATGGATCATCACTAAGGCTGTTGGTTATAATTATTCCACTTTTTGGATGCCATACACAACGGAGATGATTTCTTATTGCCTAACAATTTTGTTTTTTTCCATTTGACAAATTAGAAAAAATAATTAGAGTCTAACAGAAAATCAACACATAAGAAAATAGTGATGCACATATACAATTGGGAAAAGATAAATATACAAATGAAAATAGAATCGATTAACTTTTCTATCTAGCCATAATTGTTATACCCGCTTCCTAACCACTTCCAATTGTTTTTTGATACAATTACTAATAGCATGATAACAATGCAACTTGTTGACGACGTTTATTGAGCACGATTTAGTGATATTTGTTGATTTTGATAATAATGAATCTATATGGGAAGGCTATTGTTTAGCATGCAAATATTAGGAAAACTCCATAAAGGATCAATAATGATCTATAAGAAATTTATTTAATAGGAATGATGAGGAGATGACCTCTCTATTTTATGATCAATAATGATAATAAATCCATTCCAAGAATGTTTTACTTCAGCACATTTTAGTAGGTTGTTATTTGCTTTTGTAGTTACATCCAATAGATTAATTTCAAAACTTATGGCAGGGTAATTCGTGTAAAATTGTACTCTAGCAATAGCAATAAGAATTTAATGTTTCCAAACGTTGATAAAGGATAATGTACATATATAGTCCATAGGAAAAAATTAAGAAACAATACTTGTCATTGTTATTGCAAAAAAAAAAAAAAAGACTTATCATTTCTCATTCATCAACTTCACCTTTTATAGAGGCATATGAACAAATTTAATGTAAATATCCCCTAAACAATCTCATTAAAATACTAGAAATTGTAACAAACTAAAACTAGTCAAAATATTGAAAAAGTGGAACAACTCTAACAATTTACTAACAACTTCACTTATTCAACTAAATTGATCTATTCTAAAGTTAGAAAGCTGCAACCAAAGTTGCATCATTCCAACAGTGTTCCTTAGTTGTCAGTAGATTGTTTAGATCTAAAGTTATTAGACATTTCATGTTTTCT